TGCAGACAGTGCCTGTCAGACCGTGGCTCGCCATGCCCTGGGATGGGCAAAGTCGGTCTTTGCCTTGCGGGTTCTTGGGGAACGCGGCGAGGACTCACCAGCAAAGGGGCTCTCGCACTCATACAGCATCCAGTGGTCTGCTCGGAAGGGCGCGTGGAACCACATGGAATGGTCGAGGGAGACCATGAACTTGATGCGGTACTGCAGGTGCGGGAGCAGGGCCGTGCCCAGGAAGGCGTAGTCGGAGATGTAGGCGGCCACGCAGCAGTGCACCTTCATGTCAGTCTCTCCTGCAAAGCAACCGGCACTGCCTGTCCCCTGCGGGGTGGCCGTGGGACGAGCCTGGGCGCGCAGCACGAGGCACAGCCCCGGGAGCTCTGCTTCCCCAAGGGTCAGGTGCTGGCCAAGCAGAGCTGAGATGCTCTTTCAGACCCGCTCCCCTTGCCGGGCCCCCCAGGGAAAGCCCACCGCGGTGGAGCACGGCACACGGGCATCGCTTCACGCTCTGGCACCCGTACCTGTATTTCAGCCTTGAAATCCCCAGGCTTCCCTGCAGGCTCGGGGCGCAGACAGCCCCTGAATCACAACCCTCTCGATCACCAGCGTGCTCTACAGCATGAGCTTGAGCCCGAGCCCTCGGCTCACGCGGCAGCCAGACCACCCTCCTGGCAGGACCCACCTATGTAGCCTCGTGCTCGCACCCAGAAGAGCTGCTTTGGTTCCTGCGGCTCCGAGGAGACTATATCTGGTGGGTTCACGGGTTTGATGTCAATCGGCACATCTTCAGCTTCAATCTTGTTGAGATGCTTTCTGTACTGCTCTGCCAAGTTAGGATTCCTGTAGACCAACGGGGAGAAGTGAGGTCAATGCCAGGCAGGCCAGGGGCACGTCCTGCTGGCAGCGGCTTCAGCCCAGGGACCCAGGGCCACCCAGAAAGGCAGGAGGAGCACGGCTCCTGTCCCGTCCTGCTTCCATACTCCCCTCCCAGGCGTATTTGAGAACTCCTCAGGCGGTCACCCCAATCCCTGCGCCTCCCTAAGCCCCAGCTGCAGAGAAGGGCATCCCCGGCGTGCCCCTTCCACCCCACTCACTGCAGGAACTTCTGGATGAGCTCCTCTTGCGTCAGCAGCTCCTCAGGGGGCGGCACGGCAGGCATGGTGAACTGGTGCTGCACTGGGCTCCCCTGGGAGAGCTGGAAGGAGGCCTGGCAGATGAAGATCGGCTTTCCATGCTGGATGGCCTTTACGGAACGAACAGAGAAGCTCTTCCCTGTATGGGTCCGCTCCACCTCGTACAGCACTGGCACCCTGGGGTCCCCTGGGACAGAAAAGGGACGTTCTGCCGTTGGGCCACCACGCACCACAGAGGGGACCTGACCTACAGAGGCTGAGCACTGGGGCCAGGGGGGCCGAGCCCACTGCTCCCTGAGCTGGCACTGCCACCCACACCCTCTGCTGTGCTGGAGCTGGGATGGCGGCACCTGCTCACCCCCGCGGGCCTCAGCCCACGCAACGCTCCAGGCTTGGGGAAGAGTGGCTGGAAAGCTGCCTGGCCGAAAAGGACCTGGGGGTGTTGGTTGACAGCCGGCTGAACATGAGCCAGAAGTGTGCCCAGGTAGCCAAGAAAGCCAACAGCATCCTGGCTTCTGTCGGGAATAGTGTGGACAGCAGGAGCAGGGCAGGGATCGTGCCCCTGTGCTCAGCACTGGTGAGGCCACACCTGGAATGCTGTGTCCAGTTTTGGGCCCCTCAGCACAAGAAGAACATTGGGGTGCTGGAGCGTGTCCAGAGAAGGGCAACGGAGCTGGGGAAGGGTCTGGAGCACAGAGCTGATGGGGAGTGGCTGAGGGAGCTGGGGGTGTTCAGCCTGGAGAAGAGGAGGCGAGACCTGATCACTCTCTGCAGCTGCCTGGCAGGGGGGTGCAGTGGGGTGGGGGTCGGTCTCTTCTCCCAAGGAACAAGCAATAAGATAAGAGGAAATGGCCTCAAGGTGCATCAGGGGAGGTTTAGATT